GCAGAATGGATTATCCCTTTCATTTTCCAAACAGTGCATTTCAAAATGGAATAAAATTCAGGGATATAAGATTCTTAGCTTTGTTTATATTTATCAAGTAATATACACACATATGGCTAAAATTTAATAAAAAAAAAACCTCATAATAAAAGGCATCAGTCCCCTCTCACTTTCCCAGCCCTATCTGACTCACCAGAGGCAATAACATTTAATCATTTCTGGTTTAAGTTCTAGTAGTTATCTTTATACTGCTAAATAATATGCTTATGCTGATAATTTTTATTTCTACACATTATCATTCTTCCTGTAGGATAGATGAATATTTAGCTTAAGTTCTTACTCATTTTTATTAGGTCCTAGTCCGTTTGGGCTACTGTAACAAAAATACCACAGATCAAGTGGCTTGACCAGTAGAAGTGTGTTCTCACGGTTCTAGAGGCTGGGAAGGCCAAGATCAAGGTGCAGCCTGGGAAGTTCTGGGGAGGGCCCACTTCCTGCTTTGCAGACAGCCGTCCTCTGGTTGTGTCTTCACATGACCAAGAGCAGAGAAAACTCTGGTCTCCTTATCCCCTTATAACTGCACTATCCCATTGGTGAGCATTCCACCCTCATGACCTAGTTATCTCCTAAAACCACACTTTCAAATACAAATTCAAGATATGAATTTGAGGAAGGGTGACAAATATTTAGTCCATGGCATTTTCTTACTTTGATTATTTTGACCTTCCTCTTTTTAAGTTCTTTTTTCTGAAAATCTTAGTAATCAGACATTAAACTTACTGAACCAATCCTCTATATGTCATAACTTTATTTACTGTTTTTTGTCCCTTGTTTGCCTGTGTACTAGGTGGTTTCCTTGACTAACTTTTCTATTGAATTTTTATTTTATTTTTATTTTGTTCCCTTTTCCTAGCATTGACTTGTTTTGACGATACATTGTTTTCCTCAGATCTCTATTAGGTCTTTTCGCCAAACATAAAAAAATTCTCTTCTGCATTCTGAATGAACTGTTTTTTTTCTGTGGTCAGATCAATCTGTCTGCTTGTTTATTTGATCTTTTTCTGTTATGTTGCACTTTCTCAAACGTTTAGTGATTCTTAATTGTCTGGGGGCAAAATGGGTAAATTTTATTTCCTCTCCCTCACCCCATCCCTGCCCTGCATTTATCTTTATATTCCTTCATAAAATTGAAAGGGATGAGGCTTCCTGGGCATTTTTGGTACATGGGTAGGATTTTGGTTTGCAAGCCATGTTTTAGAGTATGTGAGTGGCTAGATTGCGATTGTTTTATGTTGGAGATTTGGTTGTACTTTTTTTCCCCAGTGATTTGGAAGAAGGGCACCATATGCCAGAATATAGTGGGCTTTGTTCTGGGACACCGGTACACACACTGCCTGTGCTGCTTACATGTAGATGGTGCATCCAGCCTTCATTAAGAAGACTGTGCATGTGCTTTGCCTGGAGCGTTAAGTCCTGGCTGCTCACTTGTTCACTATGGGTCCTCCTGACACACACTCTTACTTCAGTCTCCAGGTTTTGCCCCATTTAGCTCCTGTCTTCCATCAAATCGTCCATCTCCGCTGTAGCTCTGGTCCTCCATGTCTGGGTCACAGATTCCTCATCTCCACTCTGTCAGTCCCCATTCTTCCATCAGTGTCATTAATGTCTCCTATGTTCAGAAACCCCATCCATTCTTTCATTGTTTGGAATTACTGCCTTTTCTGTTCATTTATTATCATTTCCATGGAGTCCTAGCTGTCTACCACCTTG